AGTTTTATTTCAACATTTTTTTTCTCAATATTTTTCCAATCCAACCCAACAATTATTATACATCATTTTAAAGAGAAAGCTTTGAGCTTTAATTTAAAATAAATCTCATTCCTTAATTTCAACAAATACATCTTCCAGGAATTTTTAAATTAGCATCTTTTTTGACACTTTTAGGTTATAAAAAAATGTAAGTTTTATTTCAACATTTTTTCTTTCAATATTTTTCCAATCCAACCCAACGATTATTATACATCGATTTAAACAGAAAGCTTTAAGCTTCAATTTAAAATAAGTTTCATTTCTTAATTTCAATAAACACGGCTTCCAGGAATTTTTGAATTAGCATCTTTTTTGACACTTAGATTATGCGAAAATGTTAGTTTTTGCTCAATATGTTTTTTCTCAATATTCTATCAGATTTTCGTCGTTCTGTAGCTACAGGCCTGATAAATAAATATTCAAATTTACTGCGTCCACGAAAATGTCGTAGCACAAATTCAAAAGAAAGAGGAAGTTGTGAAAATTGTTCTGCCAAAGCTAGACCCCACTCAAAATGTACTGCGTGAAATGTTTATTTATGTTGTAATGAAAGAAGAAAGATCTGTTTTTCTGAATATCATAATGTGATTTAGATGCTACTCTCAAGTACCATTATCCCCCTGGAATAGGGGGATTGCATATTTTGCTAAAATTGATTCCAAAGGCCTAGCGTTTTAATTCTGTCACAAAGTTTCAAAATTTTTGACTTTTTGGGATACAGGATTAATTCAATTTAACTCATTTTAGGTTATCAAAATTGACAAAATACTATGTCAAAAGATAAATGTTATTCCAAGTACTTTTTAAAAGCTAAATCAAAATTACTCAGTCTTTGAATCATTCTCAATTTGTAAGTAAGCATGCATAAATATGCTTTAAACAACGTTTTTTGCTGCTGTGGGGATTTAAGAAAAGGAACTATCGTAATTGCTTGCATTCACATGGTACTAATTTGTTTTAATATAAATTTAATTTGACCCTTGATTAATTTAGATTCTTGCATTATTCTTTTTGGCACGCCTAACAATTTCCCTTGAAGACCCCAACTCGGGATTATTAACACTTTCGACAATCTTGTTGTTATCATACATGATATGCAACAATGTCGTATTTTTTAGAGCGGTGGAATTAGTAAGTATCAACATTTTTAATCAATCTAAATTAATTCACATTTCTAAGTCTAGTTCTTCGAGGTCTAGTGTTAATTCCAGTGGTAGTTCTAGTTTTAATTTAATTCAATTTATTTATTAGGAACAACCTAATAATATGCTTAGCTGGTTAATATTAAACGGATCTGTCTCATTTAACGGAATTTGGGTTTATTCCGCAATCGCATATACTCATACAATTTATGCTTTAATTTTGACAACGGTGTTTTGTAAGATTTACTTTAAATATTACAAAAAATACTTAACAATTTTTTTTTTAGGTATATATTTTTATTGTGTAGTCGTTGTGTTTAGTTATTATTGGCACTTAAAATATGATGCTGATTATGATTAATTGACAATTAATGTCATTATTTAAATTCTAAATTAAAATTAATATGATGGATATATTGAAATTAAATGGTTGTTGTTCGATAAGAAAAGCTGTTTATATCTGGGCTACTTATAATCTTGTGAGCATACCAAAATAATTATAACGATAAAAATGAATCTTTTGCAGCTTTTTCATTTGGTGATATTAATAAGTTTATCTTTTTTGATGAATATGACGTCAATATCATCTAAATTTCATGATTTTATGAATTTCATAGCTGGACCTAACATACCAATATTATGTCTACTACGATTTTTGTACACCGGAATTTTAATTTACATAGTTTTTGATCTAATTTTTGTAATAGGAATCTTTAAAGTTATTAAAACTATATCGTCATCATTAGAATAATTCTTAATACAATAATTCTAGAATCGCAAGAAGAAATTATTAATCTGGGTTATTTTCGCCGGATCGATATCATTTTCAATGCTCCTTTTTACATTAATAACAATTCCTATAATGATTGTTTATCTTGGAATTTCAAGAACGTTAATCGTTTTACTTTTATTTCCATATTATTGTAAAGAGATTAAAAGTTTTTTCAACAAACAAAATGATTATAAAAAGTTTTTAGTGCTTGAATTATACATGGTTTTGATTACTTTTAGTCACTACACGAATATTTATTGATTTCAATGTCGAATTGAAATCAATTTGACACGTATTTTGTCACTGTGACAAATAGAAAATAATTTTAAATATTTAAAACATCCAATTGAGAAAATTTTAAGTATGATAATCGGATTGACTCGTTGGAGCCAACATGAACAATGATCAGCATTCTATTCAATAAGTGCTGCTGTTGTTCGACGAAAGTGGGTGGTCAGGTATGGGGCATGGTTCACTTGGTAAAAACCTTTTTTTTAATTATTATAGAAAAATGTGTTAAATATAACATTTTTGCTAGGCTGTGTCTTTTTGTGTATTGGTTATGGCGACGGTATATTTGGTAACTACGGAAGATCAAAATGAGTGGAAAGTGTACACTGCACCAATAATAGCATGCAGTGTTTACGCAATATTCGATGTTTTTCTGTTAATCGGATTATCCAGAGTAAGCTAAATAATTAAAAAAAACTTCTTATAAATTAAAAGTTCTTTAAATTAAATTTAGGATATATCAAACATGATATTGGCTTGGTTAATATGGAATGGTTCTCTAACAATATGCATGCTATGGTATACGCTTTTAATAATCATCACGCTAATATTCACTGAACCGTTACTGGTTTTAGGGGGTATATGTCCTGGTGTATATCTATGTGAGCTTTAATTCCCTCAAAAAAATAAACAATATTAATAATTGTCTCATCTATATTCCTTTTTTTGTTTTAGTTGTAGAACTCTACTTCTCATTAATAATACTTAGTTATTATGTAGAGATTAAATATCCACCTGGAAGTGTTTTGTATAATCCACGACGACGACGAAGTGTTCAACAATGAGATCGCCAACATTTCCCGAAATCATCATATCATATGTATTATTAGTGCACGTGTTTATTAAAATGTTATGAACTTATGTGTAATTTTATTCAGAAAGAATTGTGTTTTTGTTTGAGTCAAGGCCACATGCGGCTGAGTGGAGTTCATATTATACAGGATGTCTCACGTAACTGGTTCATTAAAATATTTTCAAGATTGCTGCCACTTCCGGTCTACCGGAAGTAGATCATAACTTCGTTATTTTACATGGAACGCTATAGTTTTTATTACACCTTTTAATTGTACGTAAAAAATATGTTGACTTTCATAAAACTTATTGGTATAATATAAATAAATATAAATTTGTTATTAAATTGAATTTGGAAATGCAATAAAATGCGATAAAATATTTATTTCGTTGCCTTCATCACTGGTGACCGGAAATATGCGGTTTCTTTTGGTCTCGATATGTCCAAAACTAAGAAAATCTTTATCAATTTTTTGAAATTTATCGTTGTGATGGGCGTTAGGTTTATTAGGCATCTCTCATTAAGTGTTCGACACGTCCTGTCCAAAAGTTGATTACATTCGCCATCAATACAAAATAAATTTCAAACATCGGCGTTGGAATAATCTGGCGTGATGTTCAATGACTTATACCCGCCGTCAAATGTAACTAAGGACAACAATAATACAAACATGGACCAAAAACTGTCAAAATTCTATAGCTTTCTAGTAAAAACCCTGCATTTCGTGCATGTTTTAATAAATTTCGCAATATCAGGCAAACTAAAATAAATAGGTTTAGGAATGTTTATAGATAATTTGTAGAGAATTAAATTCCCGTTCTAATGGGCTAAAAAAATATGGGGCGTTCCATTTAAAATTTTCTACTTACTCGCCATTGAATATGGAGAAACAGTAATTCAATTTTTGACCATCCTGTATAAGATACTCGATACAACAAATAACAATCTATTTGACAGCATCTGAAGAGTAATCGTGCCAATGTAGATCTTTTTTGAATGAACGTTGGCTGAGATATGGGGTTTTAAAGAGCATGTTGAAATTTACCAAAAAAAGCTTAAAACCAAAATAACTCGAAAACAAAAAACGCTAGGTACCAATAACTTTTATCAAAGTCAACCTATTTTTTACGTACAATTAAACGGTGTAATAAAAACTAGCATTTCATTTAAAATAACGAAGTTGTGGTCTACTTCCGGTAGACCGGAAGTGGCGGCCACCTTGAAAATATTTTAGATCGAAAGTTCCGAATGAACAACCCATGCTGTCAAAATTTCAATTCTCTATGAATAGTGGAAAAAGTTCTGACGAACCAGTTACGTGAGACACCCTGTATTGACATAAAATTGACTTAAAACAATAAGGTCGCTTGTGGGAGAGGCAATGGAGCTGACATCGTCATAAACCTGATCAATACTGCTGATGCGCTATACTTGTACCTCTTACACTCACTATATGTTGAAGATATCAACTGTTAAATACACAACAATCACAATATTGATTACCTAAAAGATATATTATGTGAAACTTAGCCACAAGTTATGTTGGACGATTTCGACTCTAGCTCCTCATTTGAAGTTCATCAAAAATATTATTTATTAATATTCAAGGGCGAACATTGTGTATTTAAAAAGAGAACAGTCCGCCTACACCAACAATGATAAATAAAATGACTTTTTTATCTCAAATTTTCATTCCTAACTACTAATATTTTCTTTTATATTTATATTCTTACCTCCTTCTGTAAACCCAGCTTCATACAAATACTGAGGAATTTGTGTAGTTTTTCCAGATCCAGTTTCACCCTCAATAATTAAAACTTGATGCTCCTTAACAGCTGCAATAATACGATCTCTAAATGGATAAACTGGAAGGCTCTTCTTTGTCTCTTCAATATCTAGCAGTCTTTTTTCAGATTCTTTTAGTTGTGGTTCTTTAAAATCGGTATCTTTTTGACCTTTTAAGATATTCAAGATTAGTAATTATTTATTTCTAATAATGATTTATTAAGTACCTGAAATTTGCAATGTGTGAATAAAATTAATTTGATCCTCTTCAAATAATAATTCATATTCGTCTTTTTTTCCCTTGTTTTTAGCCCCAAATGAAAATACAGCCGATTCCATTTGTTCCTTTTCCCATTTTTTCTGTTCGGATTGAGGTACTTTTTCTAATTCATCTACTTCTACATAATCTGAAGTTGAGCCTTTACCCAAATCCCTTGGCATATGATATCTGGCAACTCTTTCCAATTTGCTGGCTTCTTCATGTTCTTGAGCTAACTTTAACAATTCCTTTTTGTGTTGCCTATCTTTTAATTCTCTTTCTGTTAATCTAAAATAAAAAATTAAATTGGTATTAATTTTTTTATTGTGAAATATCAAAAAAAGGCTTACATATCCTCTTCAAATAAATACTCATCATCTCTGATATCATCTTCTAATTCTTGTACTTTACTAACTTTCCGATTCCCCAAATATTTCCTTCTTGACTCTAACCGTAGTTTTGGAATAAGTTTATCCCTATCCTCAAGTTCCATTTTAAGCCTTTTTGCGGCCTCTTCAAACGATTTTCGATCAGAAGCATGAACAACATTTCTAACCTGAGCTAAATCCCTTTGCTTGATTCGTTCCGCTAAAGCATCCCTTTCTTTGATATCTTCCAACACTTCTTTCTCTTTTATATCTACATCGGAAGAACCACCGGTATCGTCGTATTTCTTTCTCTTTCCGCTTGTAGATGCCATTTTTAATCAAAATTTATTCTTTCAATGAATTGAATAATTCAAAATGATGAGAAATGTGTTGTTTGATTAAGTGAGGTTATGTTGTTAGTAAACAAAGATGGACGAGTTGAGGTTATAATTTTGATTGAGGTTATGTTTTAATGATTTAATGTAGCATAAATTAATGTTTTATAAACGGATATTATTTGTTTGGATTTAAAGGAAAAAAAAAGATTCAAATTGTTTTTAAATATAATATAAAATATTGAAATAATTATAAACTTAAATTAATTAAATATACTTCATTTTTCACCTAGATAGAACCTTTTAAGTGGTTTTGATCCTACAAGATTTTACAGTTTATCTATAAATAATAACTTATTCCATCACATTAGTACATCAATAAATCAATAAGTTTAAGCATTGCGACTACATTTTCTTTGCAAAGTTTAGTTAATTAAATATTTTTTATTTAGTTTCAAGTTGGAATTAAGAAATGTTTAACAATCAGAAGCGTTGAAATCGACTCCTCCACTTCCACCGCCTGGTTTTTTTCCACGAGAGAGTTTATCTAATTCCGCAGCGGCATCTGATCGCATTGCTGCTTTATCAGTTAACGATTCGGAACCTGGACTCTTTGTGCTATTCAAGGATGAATTCATGGAAGGAGTGCCGGTTTTCTTGTGTAACAAAGAATTGAAAAAATTAGCTAATACACCTTCGCCACCTGGTGTGCTGACGATTTTTGTACTATCCAACTATAAGAAAATAATAATGAATAATATTAGTAATTTCCAATAAAAAATTGTAGATTGTTTAACCTTTTTCGGAGATCCTTGTATTCCAGCTGTTGCTGGTGATCTAGCAGCTGTTTTACTTAAAGCAGATGAACGCATCGGGGACTCCCCAACCCTTGATAAATTCTGCGAGTTATTTCCACTCAACAAAATCTGTTGTTGTCGAGCTAAAAACGCTTGTTCATCTTCAGCGAATATTTCGGTTTCTCTACTGACAGCTTTACGAGTTGCAGGTTGTACAATTATTTCACGATAATAATCGTCAGGTTGACAGGTAAAAAGATTTTCGTGAAGAATTGCAATTTTTTTCATGTTATCCCATCCAGACGGACTTAAACATTCAATACAAAATTAATAATAATCATAAAAAAGTTGATAATTTTACTCACATAAACACAGCGTCTTTTTCTACAACCAAAGCTGGCGTACGAAAAGGAAATCCATAAATCTTATGGGTCAAATACTTATACAACAAATCGCAATTTTTATCTTCTTTAGCACTCGTATAAAACAAAGCGGCCCCAAATTGCAAACAAAATCTTCGTATCCATTGTTGCATAAAATCTAAATGTTCATCTTTGTAATCGTGATCTTTTTCCAAAGTTTGCATATAGTCGGTCTAAACGAACAAGATAAAATCGATATTTGAGGCTAGTTTTGAGGGGGATTATGGGGGTAGATTAATGTGATGCACTTTTGCGAAAAGAGTTTAATGATCTTTAACATCAACGTCTTAATTGAACTGAACATAAATCAAAACCAACTTGAAACTAAAAAAAAATCAGTTGCAGGAAAATAAATTTGTATTTCCTGAAACTGTCAAATAAAACGAAAATATAAAATTACTTTGACATCTAATGAATAATAATTCATAAATAAATAGTAAAAAATAGTAAACAATAAAGATTAATTAAAAGATTCAGTGTAAGGAATTATATAAGATATTTTGTAGTATTGTTTTATGTATCAGTAATTAGAAAATCATGAAAGCAGGTTGGAAAGGATGATCTTAGGTTGTTAAACTTACTTTTGTTACCACTACAACAATATCCAACCCTAAATTATTCGATAAAGTTCCTTCAGGTAATGGAGTACTATCCTCTAAATCATGATCATCAGGATCACCTAAATTCCTGGAGCTCCTCTTCATGGGTGATGATGGATCTAGTTCATCACCTGGTTCAATATATTCCTGCCATCTCTTTACAATATGGTGCCTAATAATTAATTTTTATTAAACATAAAATAAAATAAAAATTGTTGAGATAATAAAAACCTTCTTGATTGACGAAGATCAACATCTAACTTCAACTTATCCAAATGATCAGCTAGAACAGATCCCCAATGTTGAAGCTGTTCTAAAATCCCCCATGGTTGCATCATGGTAACCGTTAAAATTACCAAGGTGTGTTCGTAAGTTTCTTCGTTTAAAGCGAATTTTAAAAGATTTGTGTGACCTGGATCGCCATCAAGAACCCAAACGCTTAATCTGGTGTGATCTAAAAAAAATAAATTAATACTCCCTCCGTCCAGAATATGGTCCAGATATAAGCTTTTAAACGTTGTCGTTTTGAAAACAATTATTAAAGGTTAAGTTTTTCAGTGCCATTAAAAAGTTTTGTAATTTTTTCTATAATATAAGTTTTTAATCCAAAAAACGCGACTTTTTAAGATCTCACATAAAGATCTAGTTTAAGAAAATAATGGGAGAGAGGGAAAACATTTTGACAAGAAACGGTCATAAAAGACCAAACTTAAGTCCCAATACAAGGCAAGCCCTTTTATCATGCGTTACTGGAATTGAGTAAGAATAGCAAACTGAAACAAGGCTCAATTAAGATGATAGCGAACAAATTTAACGTTTCCGTAAAAACTGTTAGTCAAATTTAGCATCAAACCCGAAAATCGTTAGCCGAATGTGCTGAAGTAGCAGATGAACCTAGAAATATTGAGATGGCCCTAATAAAGTCAGTACCATTACATAATCGACGTTGGGTTCTTATATCAACGTACCAAAATCTACAGTTCATAATAGACTGCAATCAGGAGTATTGCGATGGCACTCAAATGCAGTCAAGCCTTTCCTCACAGACGCCAATAAAATTAAAAGATTGAAATATTGTCTGACAATACTTAAACCAGAAAAATTAAATGCAAAAGATGTAAAATTCATCGATATGTATGATCGAATTCATGTAGATGAGAAATAATTTTACCTCACAAAAACAGCTGAGACATATTACCTAGTTGAAAACGAAGAGGAACCACACAGGACCTGCAAAAGTAAGCGTTTTCTCACAAAAGTAATGTGCTTAGCCGCTGTAGCTGTTCCACGTTGGAATCATTCTAAAAACAAGAACTTGGATGGAAAACAAGAATTTAAGAATATAAGAACATGATTATTGAAAAATTGTTGCACGAAATCCAAGTAAAATAGACAACATCCGGTCGTCGCCAAAAAAAATTTGGATCCAGCAAGACAACGCTAAACCACACATTCTTCCTGGTGACAATGAGTTTAACAAAGCTTCAAATAGAATTAGGTTGGGTTGGGTTTAAATACTTATTAAATGGTCGTCAAAAGTTTCTTAGAAACGATAATAATTAATTTTTAAGTAAATTTGGACAAAAAAAAATCGATATCGGACACGTATTTCTGAACGGAGGGAGTATTAATTAATTTAATACTTCGGAAATTCCCCCAAATTAAAACAATAGGAAATAGTTGTATCGGGTATCCACCGAAATGCAACTACGACCAATTTAATGCCGCATCATTAACGCAAAACATTCATTCGCGAGTAAGCAGTCAGAGTGTTCGCATTGGATTCTTGCCACTGAAAGTTATTTTGCAGTGCTAATTTAACCACAACAACAATGTGCAGCGTAAATGATTTGCCAATCGGGGCTAGGAATGATGTATTCGTTCTTTTAGATAAGAAAGACGATTTTAATAACACCGTGTAAGTAAAATTTGTTATTTTTTGTTAGATTCTAAATTTGTAATGGAACAATAATGACAACAAGTTAAGATAAGAAAATTGTTTCGATCAACTGAATCCAAAATAAATAATTGAGTGATTACACAATAAAATTGTTTTTGGGAAATATAAAAATGGTAAAAATGTAACTTTATTTATTTATTAGATTTTATTATCTTAAACATAATGGTTTTATTGTTAAACACCTTCAGGCGTCAATCTGTCTGGTTTTAACCAGAAATTCTAATCTGAACAACTTATATAAATGTAAAGCATTAAATTTAAATTAAACCTTAAAAAAGTTAATACTAATTCTCGAATATCGGCAATGACGTATTTAAATTTTTTCTCTCAATTTGTTATCGTTAATAACACGAAAAATCTTATCACATTGCACTAACAATAGACTAAATTCTTAATTTATTTATTGTAGCGTGTATTTCGAGCGAAATATCGGTTGTGTCTCTCAATTTCACAACTAAATGAATCATTTTTTCGATAACAAGCACTATCACATGAAAACTAATAAAAATTATTTCCGGTACTTTCGTATTATCAGAGGTAATAATAACTTTGAAGTAGTTTGTTGGCCAAATAGATATCGTGTTTATAAACCGACCTTGGCAGCAATTCAATGCCGCTTTAATTATAACGATTAATAATGAAATCGTTAATAAAAAAACATCAAATTTTAATTTAATAATGGATTGCAATAATACTTGCCGTTGATAGATCTAAAAATAAATCTAAAATATTTACCTACTTCTCAATGACCTTTTAAAAACTATAGCCGTTTTTATTTTCATATAAATTTATAAATGTAACAATAAAAACAACAATACTTTTAAATTAAGAAGAAGAAAACAAAAATAATTGATAATTTTTATCGATGTCCCCTCTTTAAAAAAAATATCGAACATCATCTACGCAACATCATCCTCAAATCAATATTATGTTCACTCGTATTTACATAACAAAATTATCTCCGTCTCCATTAATAAATGAAAATAAAGGAAGAAAACGAACGAATGCGAACAGAGGGCCTAATCTCTAAAAATAAATTATCTGGGTCGCGGACAACGACGAATTCAACACGTCCACTGCCAATACGTGATTCAACTCGGTAATAATCGAGTCCGCAAACAAAAAATTGTGAGTAAATCCGGGTCGTATATCAGGTTTATATAGATTAAAAAGAAAACAGCCAGTCTCGAAGTGACATTATTATTGAAACATTACAAAACCGCGACCTTGGCTAAGCGGTTGTTATTTTCTTTCCCCCCTCCTTTATTTTCAACTACGTTTTGAAATAATACAAAACACATGTATGACGCAGCGCGTCAAACGCGACAAGTCGAATTTTTTCACTTTTTAAACGATTTATTTAAACGAGGCGTTGTTACAAAATGGACAGCCTTCAACTACCTCAACATGGGAACTCACCCAAATATATACGACGCAAAAATAATATTATTGATCCAAATAATGCTATGTGAGTGCCATTTTATTTCGTTTTTTGTAATATTTTTATTTTCGTTTCAGTCTTTACTGCAAAAAAGAAGTAATTGGAAACAATTATATCAAACGTAAATGCGGTTGGACGGGGGTTTTAAGTGATATAGTAACCCACATAAAATCCCATCATAAAGAAAATTATTTCAATGGAGATAATGGAAAGTTGATGTTTAAATGGCAGTTACCTTCGTATGGAGATCGAGAAGATTTTGGGGTGATTCGAAACGATATGAATTTTCTGCTTTATAGTTTATATTACTCAGAAAAAATGAAAGAGTTGACTATAACCATTTGGAATATGAGTCCCACCAAAAATAATCTTTATTACCAAACAACTTTGTGTCACCACCATCATGAAAAAGCTTATACGGGGACAATAAATAACATTCAAAGTATAAATAATGAGGGGTATGTCCCTTCGAGTATAGTATTACAAACTGATGATATTGAACATTATTGTGATGAGTACAAAACGTTTAAATTTTCATTACGCATATTTTAAAATTATTTTATAATAAATCACCACATTTTTATACATATTATTCATTATGTTATATCATCATGTTATTGTTAGTAATTTTATAGTTTTAATTTTATATTTTCTATAATTATACATACTGTATTTGAATCTTTGTGATTTGCAAATAGACTGTTATATTAAAATCTTTTTTTACTTAAAACAATACTCACCATCCCTATAATCATCCCTGACATCAATATAAGCGTATTCAAGCCCAGATCCTTTCTTGGGATCCTCAACTCCTTGTAATTTAGCCACCAAAGTGGTTTTTCCAGTTTCATTATCCCCCAAAAGAACAATTTGCTTACAAGAAGGCAACTTTGGGTTACCATGATTTTGAACATCTTTTAAAATAGATGCCCTAAAAATTTAATTAATTAATCAAAAAGGGAATATATTACTCAAAATTTACCATAAATTGGTGGATTCTTCTTTATTATTATCAGAGGATTGAGACGACATAACCTCTTGAGGAGCCATTTCTTGACAGGTGATGAGTCACTTACAACGACGTGAAATTAGGTATTAACCAACCTGATAAAAACGAAAATTTACCGAAAAAATTCTAGAAAATTCAAAATTTAATTAGAAATTATAAAGATGAGGCGAAATTGAATTGATTACAATCGATAAAATGTAATTTAAAGAGTTATTTTATTAGGCAAAGTTATAATTTGTGTTTATTTTTAGTTTTGTGTTATGTCATGTTGTGCAACATTACAAATATTTTATTCTATCAGAGCGAATTTTTGGCATTCGAGAAAATACGTGTTGTGAACGTGTTCGTTCTTGTCAGTGCTTGAATGTTAGAAAGTGCGTATGTCCCGTCATTTCAGTTCCTATTATATTACGTTAGATGTTCGCAAAAGCTAAACGCCGTATTTAATTAAAAGAAAATCAATTCGCATGGATATTTTTTTGTAACAAGTCAAAAATAATATGTAAAAAAAGATTTTTTGGGGAAAAATAATGGCTAAATCGGGAATGTCAGAGTCTGATGTAGAGCCCGAAGATGGGGCTACGGCTAGTCCTCCCCCGCAGGAGGACGCTGACGACACACAGAATGAAATGCCTGAAGACTCGGTGTGTGTAATTACAAATTCATTAAAACCATCAACCCCCATCAGCATACTCATTGAATCTCTAGTCAAGAACCTTTGTTATTTGTACGAACCAAATCCAGATAATGCGACTCGAACGTACCGTTTAATCTGTGAGAAATTATACAGCATGAGACTAATTGACGAAAGCTACGATATGAATGAGTTTGAAGGTATGAGAAATCAATATCAAAGAGCTGTACATCATTTACTAACAACAGCAAGCGGAGGTGATCAAACGAATCCTCTACGACCACTTTGGCCAAACGTAGATATTACCAACGAGTGGTCTCATTATTACAGAGAATTTGATGAATTGGAATATATTGCAGGAGGGGGATTTGGAAAGGTAAACATTTTAATCACTATACTCTATTTTTTAATTCGGAGCAGTGTTTTTAAATTGAAGCGTCAAAAAGAAGGGTTTCTATTGGTTAGTTTTAAGTAAAAATTACACTAGGAAAATTCGAGATGTTGCCGGTTGCCTAAAAACATTCTGTTAGTTCTAGTGATAGTGCTAGCGTAAAATTAGAACTAACACTACAACTAAAAACATTTGGATTTATCTTCATGTGTCTCAAGATGGCTAAACCTGAATGATTCTAGTTTTAAGGTTTTATGTTAATTCTAGTGATAATGCTAGTGTAAAACTAGAACCAACACTAGACCTAGACCTAGAAAGTTTGAATTTAGCGTCTCTCAAGATGGCTAAACCCGAATGATTTTAGTTTTAAGGTCTTGTGTTAATTCCCAGTGGTCCAGTCTCCTTTACACATAATATAGAATTTTCTATTGAATTTAAGGCCAATTGTAACTTAGTTGCTGCATCTACTTCATTTTCTGCAACAGCAATATTGCTCTGTCATCTGCGAATGTAACTGTTAAAGTTTCTGGTATCTAAGGAAGGTCCAATGTGTAGAGTAAGTACAGTATTGGGCTAAGCACACTTCCTTGAGGAACACTGGCTTGTATTTCATGTAGTGGTAAACAAGCGTTTTTGTATTTTACTCTAAAATATAGATCAGAAAGATACGATAATATATATTTGGTCTAGTTTTGTAATTTAAACCATCTAACCAGACTTTAACGTTTATTCCGAAACCCAAATTGATGTGTTGACATTAGGGTTTTTTCTTCTATAACAGGTTTTACTGTTTTTAATAGTAATTTTTCAAGTAGCTTTGATAATAAGGGTAATAATGAGATTGGCCTATATGATCTAACATCTGTGGGGGTTTGCCAGGTTTTGGTATCATTATTATTTCAGCAACTTTCCATATACTTGGGAAGTATTTCTGTTTAAAAGCAGCATTAATTATGTGTAATAGTTTTGTAATCGCCCGTTTTGGTAGATGTTTCAATGTTTTTCCATTAATTAGGTCATACCCTACTGATTTCTTTATATTTAGTTTTTGTATTTCATAATACAGTTCTATCATTCTTACACATGGTATGTATATTACTCTGCTCATCACTTTGAATTATGCTAGGAACACTATTTAGCATAGTTATTGGACTGTCTGGTGTAAAAGTTTGTTTCAGATGTTCAGCAAACAAATTAACTTTTTCTTGATTGCTCTTAGCCCAATTTCCATTACTATTTTGTATTGGGATAGTGCTAGTGCTAGCACTAGTGTTAGTTCTACATACTAACAATGCTAGTGTAAAACTAGAACTAACACTAGACCAAGAACTAGATAACTAGATACTTTCTAGGTCTAGTGTTAGTTCTAGTTTTAGTTCAATAACAACATAGTGATATTTTATGCTAGCTAGCGCTACATACAACCTACCAGTCGTCTTAAGAGTGTACCTCTCTTGTTACTAGCTTTCCTGAGAAGAAGGAAACATGACGAGAAAAGGGATTTTTACTTAATCGTCCACAATCGCAGATCAGGTGTCTGTTTCCTGATGTTACATGTAAAAAAAATAGGTTGGATTACATGAGTTCAAGTGAAATGAGGTTGCGTTGATTTAAGTGAGGCTATATTGCGTTGAGAGGGGATGAATTGGATTTGGTTTGGTTGCGTATTAGATGGGTTCGGTTAGGTCCACGAGATTAGGGTTGGGTCAGGTTTGAGTCTGGATGAGTGAAATATGGCTTGGGTGAATTGAGTTGGGTCTGGTTTGTTTTCGGATACTTTGCTACAATGTCGATTTCTTTAATATTATTTTATGTAATGATATCAAATATAGCGCCTCGGCTTAGGTTGAATGAAAAAACATGGTTTAGTCTCATTGAGCCGAGGTCGCTTGCGGGCGAGGCGTGATGTAATGATTTGATGGTAAATATCCTCTTATGAGAGACTTTGTATGTTTACTAAGATATATAAGGAACGATTTTGTCTTAAATCGCCGAGATCGTTTGCGGGCGAGGCGTTACATTTAATAGATCAAAAAAAATCGTTAGTTTTGGAAGACCTAGCGCCTCGCCCGCAAGCGACTTTGGCGAAGTGTGACGAAAAATCATTTCTTGTGTAAGTATTTTCCGTTTAGTTCATTTTGCAAGATAAACGATATCATCCAACATCGCCAAGGTTGCTTGCAGGCGAGGCGCTACAATTATTATCGATATAATATGTCGTATATGTAGCGCCTCGCCCGCAAGCGACCTCGGCTTAATGAGACTAAACCATGGCTTTTTTTATTCAACCTAAGTCGAAGTCGCTTGCGGGCAAGGCTTTAGACTGGAGACATTTAACCCTTTGTGTCCCAAGAAGTCAAACATTGTGAAACTTTGTGACAGAATCAGACAGAATTAAAACGCTATCAAAATACACTCACAATCAGTAAAGGCCTTTGGAATAAAATTTTAATTCAATTCAAAAATTCCTGGAAACCGTGTTTATTGAAATTAAGAAATAAAACTTATTTTAAATTGAAGCTTAAAGCTTTCTGTTTAAATCGATGTATAATAATCGATGGGTTGAATTAGAAAAATATTGAGAAAAAGAGTATTGAGTTAAAACTAACATTTTCGTATAACCTAAAAGTGTCAAAAAAGATGCTAATTTAAAAATTCCTGGAAGCCGTATTTATTGAAATTAAGGAATGAGACTTGTTCTAAATTAAAGCTCAAAGCTTTCTCTTTAAAATGATGTATAATAATATAGTAGAAAGTACCGACTGCTCTAAATGTGCCGAATAGATAACTACAGTTTAAAATTAGTGTTTAAAACTACTGGTACTTTAAAGTACCGTCGGGACACAAAGGGTTAAAGTTAAAATGTGATCAAAGTAGACGCTAAACGGATTGTTTCTAGTTCTAGTATTAGTCTAGTTTTATTTGTTATTCAGCGCTAGATTATTGTATATTTTTATTGAGCTAAAACGGACATTACCTTCCCCGTATTAATCTGTTATATCAAGGTTTTTAGTGAAATTTCAAATTATATTGACATGTTGCATTACGACAAAGTAAGTAGGTACGCCCTGGTTTTTATTATGTTTAAACAAATAAGTAATTAAATTCGTAACTACAGTTTACTTAAAATCCTCTCTGGTTTGAAAACTCTCGCCAAAAAATACCTTTGAAAAATTACACTGTGTAAACGTGAGTTTTCATTTTACTCCTCCGAATTAAAAAAATAGAGTATAAACTAATAATAAGTATCTGAATTGAATTAAAAATTTTTTAGGTATACAAAGTAAAGCATAAATTAGATAGTACAGAATACGCGGTAAAAAAGATTTTCATCCGTTCCGAAGGAATAAACTCCGTTAGAAATTACCTTTCAGAAGTGAAAACATTCGCAAGTTTAAACCATTCAAATATTGTTCAATACAAAGCCGCGTGGTTAGAATTGGGTGCGGATATAGGAAAAAACGTCATCACCGAACACACCTCCGAATCGGAAATTTCGTTTTCATCGTCTCTTGAAAGTATGGGCAACGAAGATCATCGAATACTCGATGAGAACATCAATCAAGTGGAAACTTACTTATATCCAACTATGATCTCTGAAGCGGAATTGAGTTTTCAACGAACCAAAGAGAAATCGTCCGAATTTGAAGTGAAATTCGAACAGAGTATTGAGTTTAATCATCATTCGTTGTCTAATAGCCAAGAGGTGAATGGGAAAAAAAAATGTCGTGAAAAGAGGAATAGTATATCCGAAGGTGGGAAAGCGATTTGTACTATTGAGGAAATTCAAAATATTCAACAACTCCAAACTAGGCAACATCCTAAATGGGCCACTTTGTATATTCAAATGACGTTGTGTCAGACTACTTTAAAGCAATGGTTAGAAAATAGGAACATCGGAGAGGCTCATTTAGATAATAACGGCGTGATTGTACCCGTTGGTGGCGATCTTAGATCGAAAACAATTATAGAAATTTTAAAACAATTACTTCAAGGTTAGTTTTTTTAAAATTGATTTAGCTAAAATAAATATTCTTTTTTAATTTTTAATAGGTTTACAATACATTCACTCAAAAAATATAGTTCATCACGATATTAAACCAAGCAACATCTTCCTTCAAAACGATAATGGATCTCTATTGGTTCAATTGGGCGATTTTGGATTAGCTTGCCCTTTACAAAGTGCTCGACACTCTTTAGCATTAGGTACTAAATTGTATGCAGCACCAGAACAATTAAGAGGAAGCTGCAACAGAAAGGTAAATGGGTTAATATTTATATAACGTTATCAATAAGCGAGTAGACGGATTTTCCAATCATATAAATTATTACTTGTTGAAAAATTCACATTATGTTATGTCCGTGATGTTCAGATAAAAGATTAAAAAAATCTATAATTAACTTTATCAATAAATTATGATTCACTATTAATAAGTACAGGTGGTTTTAAAAAAATACTTATTAGTTGTACTAAAATTATTGTTATTAATTAATCTTTCTTTATAAGTATTAGAACTAGAAACATTCATGTTTTTCTTATTCTAGATTTAGTGTTAGTTTTTTAATTCAATATTTTTTCTTTATTTCTAGAGTGATATGTATTCATTAGGAATAATTGTACTGGAATTGACGGAAAGTTTTCAAACAGATATGGAACGTGTTGAAAGTATAAATCAATTACGCGAAGGGCACCTGGACCCTCAATTACAAGAACAACAACCCCAACTGTCTTTAATAATTCGTCAGCTCGTTGTAAACAATCCAAATGAACGGCCGGATGCGATGACTCTTTTACAGCGTCTAACAGTGGACGTGAATGTAGAATCGGAAATCGTGAAAGATCTTCGAACGCAACTAGCGGAGAAAGAAAAAGAAATTTCACGGTTGAAGGCGCTGTTAAAAGACAGCGGTCATCAAAATCAATAGTTTATTTTTCTAATTTTTTTTCTTTTTTTTTAATAATTAAAACAACTTAAGTAATTTTTAAGCAATAATTTATAAGAATACAAAAAAATTTTTGCGGGGAAATACATTTAAATAACACAAATACGTTCTTTTAAAAGACAATCAAGGTTTTTGTTTAATTTTAATTCTTTTCATCATTTCTGTACAGTATTAAATGTAGCGCAGTGTTCTCATGTTGTATGCGTCTACATCAAGCCAAAACCTTGATACAAAAGAAACGATTACATTTTAAGGAGATTAATTAACAATTAAAAAATAATAAAATCATTTATTCCTTTATTTTTTTATAACATTTCGTGAATCCAAGGCAAGTTTCTCTACAGGGCTGACGTTTATTATTACAGTTTATTGTACGTGCGCTCACTCAGTCTGCCTTTTAAATTGTATGATGTGAGGCGCGTCTGATATTTTTTATAAAAATATTTTTGTTATGTGGCGTATCGTTACATAATAAGTTGCTAGGGCTGCGAAAACGATTGATGCGTTTAGTCAATCTTTTTGTACAACTTTTATACTATTTATTGTACATATCTTGGAACGATATGATGTGATATAAATAAACAGATATTAATTTTAATTGTTTTATTTTGTTTAAGTTCAAAAACTGTCTAATACTCTGTTCTTAATTTTAACAATTAACACTAAACTTAGTATTTAGGCTAAACCCAAGTATTTCTAGTTCTAGCTCTAAAACTGATTAGAATGAAGATATAGATGAGATGATAAAGAAAAATAGAGATGAAATAAGAGAACTATGGATTCTGTATAAACAAGGAGAGAAGAATGCGTTCGACCAAGCCAGCCATTGAGATGTTAGTTGGAGATCTGCTTAACCAACAAGAAAGGCAATTGAAGGTGTAAGAAGCAAGTACAGGTGCGTTTTTGACTCAAAACGAGTTTTGTGCAGATTTGGGTAATTTATGTGTCAAATTAAATGTGTTATTTACCACAAAAATCGGAAGAATCCTGTATGTAAATTGACGATGTTAGTTCTAGTTTTAATTGAATAAAAATATGCAACACAGTGACATCTTATGCTAACTAGCGCTACTTACCACTGTCGTTTGTAAAATGGAGAGGATGAGAGATTTTAATCTATTTGTAGAGTCTCTGAAGATGGTAGAACTAATATAGACCTAGAACTAACATTAGAACTAGATACATTCGGATTTAGCCGCACGTCTCTCAAGACGGCTAAACTGGAATGATTCTAGCTCTAGGTCTTGTGTTAGTTCTAGTGATAGTGCTAGTGTAAAACTAGAACTAACCCTAGAACTAGAAACATTTGGATTTAGCCGCACGTCTCTCAAGACGGCTAAATCCGAATGATTCTAGTTCTGGGTCTTTTGTTAGTTCTAGTTTTAGTTCAATAAAAATATGCAACATAGTGATATGACATTAGAACTAATATTAGATCTAGAATTAAAAACATCCGGATTTAGCCGCACGTCTCTCAAGACGACTAAACCCGAATGATAATTTGACAATTAAATGTCAATAGGATTAAATTGCGTCCTACATGAAGTTAGCAACAATAAAAAATAAAGATTAATTATTATAATTGTTTCTACTTTATTATTCTTGGATATTTTTAAATTTTGATAAGCGCATAAAATCACGAGGATAACAAAAATTATCGTTGTTTGTAAACCGTGTATCTTAAGCTTATCTATTCCCTTTGTTTTCCATAGGTTTAGTTAATAAAATAACAACTTTTTTCATTTTTGAATTAAACTCAATATATACTATTTATTATTAATTTTGTTTTCGAATTATAATATAAAAACGTATCACTCAGTAACAACTCAATTTATTATGTTATTATCATTATAACAACCTATCAAAATCCACTTACACATTTCTTGATTGAAAAATATCATGTTTTTTCTATAAGTTATACATTAACAAACATTTATCCAATTTATTATGATATATATTTTTATAAATAATTCGCAAGAAGGTAAGTTATCATTTTATTTGATTATAAAAAAAAATTTTGTTAAAATCGCTGTCAATTTTATTGAATTAGACAGTTACCTGACAAATAATCCGTTCAAAATAATTTTTGATCAATTCTTTTATATCTTCCAAAATTAAATGTTAAATTAATAATGAACGGTTTAATTAAATCAACATTAAAGCATTTAAAATTAAGCGCGATGCGTTAGATCATGTTTACCACCGACAGAGGGCGCACTTTGTATATAAAGAGACGACGCGTGCTCTCGCGGATTCAGTGCGAAACCAGCTTCTAAAGCAAGTCAAGTTTTCAACCTAACCTATAAAAAAACCAATTCTAACTTCCATATTTTGTTCCTTATTATAAAAAGAGTCATGGCAAGTGTTTATGGTGTAGGCGTTATGAATCGCTACGAACTTTTCGTGGATGACGAATCGGACCCTCTCGATGTGTTCAAGGCGATGGAACAAGTCAGAGAAGAGAAAAAGAAAACAAAAATTTCCGACAAGGAGAACAACGCCTCGACAACGAAAACCACCATCAGCGCCACTACGCAAAAGAACAAGAAGGTAAAACCTTCACCAAGCGTTAAAACAACGCCCGATAACCAACAACACAAGATGAACGGAACTAAAACAAAACCGGAAAACGTTACGTCGGAGGAGAAACAGCCGCCGGCACGTGGCCAATCACCACGTGGTGAAAATCGCCGTGGAGGAAGGCCGTTAGGAAATCGAAACGCCGGCGGAAAAAGATTTTCGGATGACCGACGCGGGAAACGCGAATTCGACCGACAAAGTGGTTCCGATAAAACCGGAATAAAACCGATCGATAAAAGAGACGGTGCGGGATCTCATAATTGGGGGTCCCACAAAGATTTGATTGAAGAGGTTGAAAAAACGAACGCCGAGGATCCCGGCGTTGTCGTCGATGAAAACGAAAAAATTGAAAATGGGGAGAAAATGGTTGAAGATAATGTTCCGGTCGAAGAAGAAGTAAAACAATTGACACTTGAAGAATGGAGGGCTTCGAAAGGAAATCGAGCGAAACCTCAATATAAATTACGAAAAGCCGGTGAAGGGGAAGATTTGACACAGTGGAAAAAAATGTACGAATTGAATAAGAAAAAGGATGAAGGCGGATCGGACGAAGAAGAGGAGTTTGATCCGTTGAATTTCCCTCAACGCGTTGGTAGACAAGTACATGTGCGAGATATTAATTTTTATTTCAACGATGCTCGTCGAGGTGGCGCTTTTCGTGGCGGTCGAGGCGGTAAAGCGGGACGCAAAGGAGATCTTCGCCAACGTGGTGACGGAGGGGGCAATCAATCGGATGCGGGAGATCAACCCTTCGTTCAAAATTCGGTTCCAGCACCAAGGGTTGACGACGAGCGCGATTTCCCTTCTTTGGGTTAAATAATTACGACATGGTATGGTTCTCTCTGGCGGTAAAGACTGAAATCATTTTAAATCTCAGGTAGATTTAAACCTTTCTATCTCTTTTTCACTATATTAACAAGAAGAAGTGTATATTTTAAAAAGAAGGAGTATACAATTATAATTATTATACAACTAGGTTGTACTAGTTGCGGAAAAATTGAATAATCGTTACGTTCTCTTTATTATTATTTTTTTTTTTATTTAATTTTCATTTTGAGTATTTTTTTAAGCATTTGTACAAACTAGAGTGCATTTAAGGGAAATAAAAAGTTACTTAAAATGGTGTTTAATTATTTATTTTAAATTTGTTCCAAAATTAAATTATCCTTTTGACACTTCCAGGTCGTTTTAATTTTACATAACCTGTATAAAGTAAAAACAGCTGAGCTTACTGTCAATATTTGACGTTTGACTCACTGCGCATGCGCAATTCTGTTGTAACCGTAAGAACCCTTGCTTTTGAATCCTAAAGCGGCCATAATTGAATCTAAAATGTCTTCAAACAAATCCCCCAATCTATTAACTAGTAACCTTGGCTTAATCAAGCAAATTCATACATTCTAACTGTAATGTATAATCCAGTCCAACTTAGTATCGGTATGATATAAATTGCGGCAACTGCTCAAGCATTACCTGCTCAGAATTTTATAGGTTCTAACGGTGGCGGATTGTAACTCAGAGGGGTGGATAACTTCATATATATCTCTTAGAGAAGTTGGTTTCCAACTTCTTTGAGAACAGTAATGAAATTAAGTGAACTACGTTGTAGATATCCTTCGAAAGAAATGTGCTGTATGCCGATTCTAGTTCTTGTGTTAGGCTAAACACATACTGACGCGACTAGCAAAGCGGCGAGCAGAGCGGTGAGGAAAGCGGCGAAAACAAACTATACATATCCAAATGAGTAGAACATAGTGGTGCGGCGCGGCGCCAAGTAGCAGTGTGGTCATAAGAGAGTATAGCGGCGCGTTCAAGCAAGTTTGTTTTCTCCGCTCTCCTCTTTGATACAAAATGGATGTTGAAGCTTTAATACATGAAAACGTTACATGAAAAGTTACAAAAATAAAATAAAATGGTTGAGAAATTGCAAGAGGTAACCACTTTGAAAATAAAATAAAATTACATAGAGGGTGTTCAGATGAAACAAATCCCTTCTGCGAGTATAATTGTCTGCGAGGCAACAACTCTAAAATCTGTTTTTTAAAAATGTATGTAATGTATATAATTTGTATTTTATAGTTAATATTTCCNTGAGTTGTTTATGTTTTTCAATTTCTATAGTAAATTTATGATTTTTATGGAGGTTATTAATGTATTTATGGAAATCATCTATCAAATTGAATCCGTCATCATCCCAAATTATCAAAATATCATCAACATATCTGAGCCACAGGACTATATTATTATTGTTAATGTTATCTTTGTGTAAAATTTTGTTTTCTATATTATTAAGGAATATGTCGGAGAGTAGACCGCTCAAGGGGGATCCCATTGGAAGACCCTCATTGTATTGGTAAAATTTATCATTGAATAATGGCGTAGTTGTTCATACAAATGATGAAATTCGCCATGTATATGTCTACTTTTATTTATTTCATGTACATTACAACTTCTCTTCCTTTTATATTTTAATAAATACCAAAATTTCAGGGAAGAATTTTCTAATAGTAATAAATCCATACCTCCTTATTAGACGCGCCACTATGTGAATGCAACTCTTTTATTACCGCGATTCTCGGTCGCCGCTTTCTTCACCGCTCTCCTCGCCGCTTTGCTCGTCGCTCCAGTATGTGTTTAGCCTTAGTTCTACTGATAGTGCTAGTGCAAAACTAATACTAGACCGAGAACTAGAATCATTCGGGTTTAGCCGCACGTCTATCAAGACGGCTTTTTTTGTTTATAGTTCTAGGTCTTGTATTAGTTCTAGTGATACTGCTAGTGTAAAACTAGAACTAACACTTTCGAACTTTAGAACTCAACACTTTCTAGTTCTAGGTCTAGTGTTAGTTCTAGTGATATCATATGATATTATAGTGATATCTTATGCTAACTAGTGCTACCTATAACTGCCACTAGAACTAACATTAAATCTAAAACTAGAAACATTCGGATTTAGCCGCACGTCTCTAAAGACGGCTAAACCCAAATGATTCTAGTTCCAAGTCTTGTCTTAATGCGTCTTTAGACGCACGCCTAAACCCGATACTTTCTAGTTCATGCAACATAGTGATATCTAGCTAGTCACAGCAATGAAATCTACGAAATTAAGTGGTCCACGTTGCAGATATCCTTCGAAAAAATATGCCGAATCCGAACTTTTTCTTGGTTGACTATCGTCATACCAATATTTACTCTCGATGTAGCAGCTCTAAATAATTCCACTACTATTGTACCTATGTTATTCCTATACTTTGCTTGTACCCTTTGATGCAGTGCAATGTGTTAACTAATTTTGTGGTTGATATAATATTAATTGTGGACTATCAACATGGTTTAGTATTTTTTGACGTATCATTATAATTTTGCATCCACACATCTAAATTACTTCAAAAGTTACAATTAAAAATCCATGTTACTGTCCTTAAATCATTCTTGCAATAAGCTAAACATTATTTATAATCAATAAAAACAAATCACATGTATGACATGTGTTTCTCACACACTCTACTTTTACTTGTTTACGCTTTGAGTAGATTAAAATAGAGATTTGCGCAGAATTGTATAACAAAATAGTCTCAAGGTCACGAAATGTATAAAACCTCTTAACAAGAAATGATTAAATATTAAATTATTTCAGTGTGCATAAATATTACAAAGAAATAAATTAAAAAAATACCTTATTTATTTATTATGGATTATTTTATTCATATCTTTTTAATTATTTTTAAAATGACAAAAAAAAATTAATAACGATAATGATCCGGTTTAAATGGCCCATTTTGAGGAATTCCCAAATATTTAGCCTGTTCAACAGTTAAAGTAGTCAATTTAACGTTTAAATGTGCCAAATGTAATCTGGCGACTTCCTCATCCAACGTTTTGGGTAACATGTAAACTCCAATCTTATATTGATCTGGTTTAGTCCACAATTCGATTTGTGCCAAAACCTGATTGGTAAATGAATTTGACATAACAAATGAAGAGTGCCCAGTAGCGCAACCTAAATTAACCAAACGTCCTTGCGCCAACACAATAACATGTTTTCCATTAGATAACTCGTATCTATCAACTTGCGGTTTGATGTTTACTTTATTTTTGGCGTTTTTCTCCAACCAAGAAACGTCAATTTCGCAGTCGAAATGCCCGATGTTGCATACGATGCTATCATCGCGCATGTTCATAAAGTGTTCTCCAAGAATTATGTCTTTGCATCCGGTGGTTGTGACGAAAATTTGTCCTTCTTTAGATGCTTCTTCCATTGTGGTTACTTCGTACCCTTCCATCGCCGCTTGAAGCGCGATTATCGGATCGATTTCTGTTATGATTACTCTTCCACCGAATGCACGTAAAGATTGCGCACATCCTTTTCCTACATCTCCATATCCTGCGACAATACAAACTTTTCCCGCTAACATTATATCTGTTGCACGTTTAATTCCATCAATTAAAGATTCACGACAACCATATAAATTATCAAATTTACTCTAAAATAAGAATAAATAAATAAATAATTGATTAAAAAAAGTTTATGTTTTAAAATGTAATTAAACTAAAGCTAGAACTAAAAACATTCGAATTAAGCCATGCATCTTTTGAAAAAGTGTTTGACGTTTTAACAACTTGACGTTGAATTGGATAAATTCATTCATTTTTGATACTAGGCCTAAAACTTGAAACATTCGGGTTTAGCCATTCGTCTCTCAAGACGGCTAAACTGGAATGATTTTAGTTCTAGATAGAGTATTAGGTAGTTCCACATAGTAACAATGCTAGTGTAAAACTAGAACTAACACTATACCTAGAACTAAAAACATTCGGGTTTAGCCGCACGTCTCTAAAGACGGCTAAACCCGAATGATTCTAGTTCCAGGTATAGTGTTAGTTCTACATAGTAATAATGCTAGCGTAAAACTAGAACTAACATTAGACCTAGAACTAGAAACATTCGGGTTTAGCCGCACGTCTCTAAAGACGGCTAAATCCAAATGATTCTAGTTCCAGGTATAGTGTTAGTTCTACATAGTAACAATGCTAGTGTAAAACAGGAACTGACACTAGACCTACAACTAGAAATATTCATCTAAAGACGCACGGCTAAACCCGATACTTTCTAGTTCTAGGTCTAGTGTTAGTTCTAGTTTTAATTATTGTGCAGCGCTAGACCAAGAACTAGAATCATTCGGGTTTAGCCGTCTTTAGAGACGTGCGGCTAAATCCGAATGTTTTAGTTCTCCTCTAGTGTTAGTTCTAGCTTTACACTTGCACTGTCACTAGAACTATTAGATCAAGAACTAGAATCGTTCGGGTTTAGCCGTCTTATGAGACGTACAGCTAAACCCAAATGCTTCTAGTTCTAGGTTTAATGTTAGTTCTAATGACAGTGCAAGTGTAAAATTGGAACTAATACTAGACCTAGAACTAGAAACATTCGGGTTTAGCCGCACGTCTCTAAAGGCAACTAAACCCAAATGCTTCTAGTTCTAGGTTTAATGTTAGTTCTAGTGACAGTGCAAGTGTAAAACTGTAACTAACACTAGAGTTAGATTTTGGTGTAATTATTATTTGTTTCCATTATTCGTATTAAAATAAAATAAAGAATTGCACTTTTTTTAATGGATAATTGTTATATTTATGTTCTACCGCTTTCGACTCAACATACAGTCATCTTCAGGAACGCGTCATAATTTGAACTAAAGCCCTGGTATTACTATTAAGCATTTGTTCGTGATTAAAAAACATTAAGGAAATCAAAAATTTAATAAATGCGCAATTATGGGCGGATGCGATGAGTGATGAATCGTCTGACAAGATGGTTGTGATAATAGTAATACCAGGGCTTTAGTTCAAATTATGACGCGTTCCTGAAGATGACTCTATGTTGAGTCGAAACTGGTAGAACATAAATATAACAATTATCCATTAAAAAAAGTGCAATTCTTTATTTTATTTTTAGTAGAGTTAGAGTCTAGTGTTAGTTCTAGTTTTAATTATTGTGCAGCGCTAGACCAAGAACTAGAATCATTGGGGTTTAACCGACTTATGAGGCGTACAGCTAAACCCAAATGCTTCTAATTCTAGGTGTAATGTTAGTTCTAGTGACAGTGCAAGTGCTAAACCAGAACTAACACTATACCTAGAACTAGAATTATTCGAGTTTAGCCATCTTTAGAGACATGTGGCTAAATCCGAATGTTTCTAGTTTTAGGTGTAGTATTAATTCTACTTTTATTTCCGTAAAAATAAACAACAATTTAGCGCTTAATAACATCTAAAACTAACACTAGACATAGAACTAGAAGCTTAACCATCTTGAAAGACATACAGTTAAACCTGAATGTTTCTATAAATGAAACACAACCAGAAGGAAGGATACCTTTACACGTTAAGGACAGGAATAACAGAAAGGAAAAATTCCCGGCGCTGCTAATTTTGGTGGTGTTTCATTTATATGTTACATACACTTTTATATTAATTCCAATTATTATTTAAAGAATGTTTCTAGTTCCAAGACTAGTATTAGTTCTATTTAATAACGTTAGTGTTAATTCTAGCTCTAGTTGAATAAAAATTGAATTCTTTTAAATTTACTTTTGTCACTGAATCATTAACATTAATAGCAGGAACTCTTAATTTTCCTTCACTGTGTAATTTATAAAGGTTATGAACTCCAGTTGTAGTTTCTTCACTGACACCTTTGCAGTTATCTAAATATTGGGGGTATTTGGTGTGAATGAGATTGGTTAAATCGCCCCCATCGTCCAGAATCATGTTTAAAGGTTGTCCATCGGGGAAAACGAGGGTTTGCTCGATGCACCAAATGTATTCATCATCGGTTTCGCCTTTCCACGCGTATACAGGGATTCCTCTTTTTGCAATAGCAGCAGCTGCATGATCTTGGGTACTAAAAATGTTACAACTGGACCATTGAACCTGAAAATAATACACCAAAAAAAAATAATTGATGTTTTAGGTAATTATAAATTTAATTGGAGCACAATTAAATTGATTAGATCTAAAGGCTTATCAGCTTTATTATGTAAATTTATTTAAATAACTAAAGTTAAAAATTTAAATAGTTAAACTAATGGAAATTTTAAAACATTATCAGTAATCTTGCGTCAAGATTACACAAGTAAAAAGGTTGAGGTTATCACCTTAGGTTAAGACTATTTTTTAACACATAATAGTATAAAAATATTACGTAGAAGATTACAGATTAGATTCAATTTTAATTCTTTTTTTATGGTTACATAGAAATTCTTACCTCGGCTCCAAGTTCCAATAAAGTTTCAATAAGAACAGCAGTTTGAATCGTCATATGAAGACATCCAGCTATTTTGGCCCCCTTTAACGGTTTAGTTTTACCATATTTTTCTCTCAAACTCATCAAACCCGGCATTTCTTTCTCGGCCAATTCAATTTCCTTACGACCCCAATCGGCCAAAGACATATCGGCTAAAAATAAAATTCATGTTTTAGGTTAAGAAATAAAAAAAGACCAAAAATTAGATTAAAATCATTAATTTATTGATATTATTATTAATTATGATTAAATTATTGTAATTTGCAAGTTTTTTAAGCTACATTCAATTTATTAGATGGTTTTGGATATTTTTATGGAGATATCAATTTATTTAAATTAAAGCGCTTTATTGCGTTAAAAAGGTGTTAAAACATATAATAAGAGAAGTAATAATTAAAAACTCACCAACTTTATATTGTGGTTTACTCATTTTAAATTTTCTTTATCTTTTTAAGTACTTAACCTAACTTCTCAACCACACCGTCGTTTTTTAAAAGTGGAAAAGACCGGCTTTATCTTCCTATTTTATACAGCTCACAATTTATAACAACGCATGCGTAGCAACACCTCCAAAAATTATGTCGAAATATAAAGTTTATTAATTATTAATTAAATTTGATAAATTTCGCAAAAATTTTTATTAATATTACATATACATACACATACAATAAAAATTAATAAGTATTTTGACAAAAATTAATTTTAATTAATAAAATTTCTTTTAAAGGTTATAATAATCTCAGTTTTTTATAAATATTATTTATAACATTAAGGCCCACTTTTACCATCCTCCTGATAAACTATCTAGAGGATAGTTGCCATGGTTACCACGGTTTTAAGCGCTCTCATTGGCTAAGAACTGGATTTATCTATCGGATAAATTTATCAGGAGGTGGTAAAAGTGGGCCTAAATATGTAATTTAATTATAAATTATTTATTTGTTATCGCTTATCATTCCCGATAAATAGATGGCACCACTCAACTTTATGATTGCCATCTAGCGATAATAAACGTTATAAATCATAAAAATAGCGCACGCGCTTTAGGAGGTCAACTGAAAAATCATATGACACTTGGGTGAGGTGAAGATCTGGTCCTGTTTCTACGATTTTCGTCCAAATTTCATCGTTTCACCATGAAGGGTTGTATTTTTAACATCGACAGCGGTTACTTGGAAGGTTTGTGTCGCGGATTCAAATGCGGGATCCTCAAACAATCCGATTATTTAAATTTGGTGCAATGCGAAACATTAGAAGGTAACTAATCTATAATTATCAACGTTAAAGTAACCCTTTGAATCATTTCTAATTACTAGATTTAAAGCTACATCTTCAAGGAACCGATTATGGTACGTTCTTAGCTAATGAACCATCTCCGTTAGCTGTATCGACGATAGATGATAAACTCCGCGAAAAACTTGTTATCGAGTTCCAACACATGAGGAATCAAGCTGTTGAGCCCCTTTCAACATTTTTGGATTACATAACGTACAGTTATATGATTGACAATATTATTTTGTTGATTACTGGAACTTTGCATCAACGACCCATTTCTGAATTAATCCCCAAATGTCATCCGTTGGGGAGTTTTGAGCAAATGGAAGCTATTCATGTTGCTTCAACTCCAGCTGAGTTATACAACGCTGTGCTTGTTGATACCCCGTTGGCCCCATTCTTCGTTGATTGCATAAGCGAACAAGATTTGGACGAAATGAATATTGAAATTATACGTAATACTTTGTATAAAGCGTATTTGGAAGCTTTTTACGATTTTTGTAAAGAAATTGGGGGAACTACTGCTGATTGTATGTGCGAAATTTTAGCTGTAAGTATAATTTTGATTAAAATATGTCATGTGATCAATTACTAGGTGATTTATAATTAAAATTAAGAGATAACTTATTTATTTCTTTTAGTTTGAAGCTGATAGACGTGCAATTATAATCACCATAAATTCGTTTGGTACTGAATTGAGCAAAGATGATCGCGCTAAATTATACCCAAGGTGTGGAAAATTAAATCCAGATGGTTTAGCTGCTTTGGTACGAGCGGAAGATTACGATCAAGTAAAAGCTGTGGCGGAATATTACGCGGAATATTCAAAATTATTTGAAGGAGCTGGAAATAACCCAGGAGATAAGACACTTGAGGATAAATTTTTTGAATATGAAGTAAATTTAAAGAAATTTATTGATTTTTTTTAATGTTTTAATTTTTTAGGTTCGCTTAAACGTCCATGCTTTCCTTCAACAATTCCACTTTGGGGTATTTTATTCGTATTTGAAATTAAAAGAACAAGAATGTCGCAATATCGTATGGATTGCAGAATGTGTTGCTCAAAAACACAGGGCTAAAATCGACAATTATATTCCTATATTTTAATTGAAATTGAGGTTTATATTAAACATTCCAAAGTAAAATAATAAAAAATAATGGAAAAATAAGGAAAAATATAAAGTTATGTAGATTTTTTTCTTTGTATAGAAAACGTTCTAGCTTTAGGTAACAAAATATCAATGTAAATACACAATAATGTTATAAAACCGTGTTGTTGTTTCTAAAAAGAAAGTTTGTAATAATATTGTTTTGTGTATAATTAATTTTATCATTATTGTAAAAGTATTAAATGTATATAAAACTAATTCACAATTTATCCTGCGCATTGTATTGGTATATCAATTAAATGTAATAAATGTAGTCAAATACAGTTTATTTATTGTTTTTCCTTTTTATTTAAACAATTTTTATTTGAATCACTTTAGAAAGTGTCATTTAAGTTCCTTATTTACTCAATAGATGGCACCATCAAAATCAACCTAAAATTTTTAATTTTTTGATATTTCACGTTTATTTTATCAAATTACTAGGTGATTTATAATTAAAATTAAGACATAACTTATTTATTTTTTTCAGTTTGAAGCTGATAGACGTGCAATTATAATTACCATAAATTCATATAATTAATTTTTTCATTATTGTAAAATTATTAAATGTATATAAAACTAATTCACAATTTTCCTGCGCTTTATATTGGTATATCAATTAAATGTAATAAATGTAGTCAAATACAGTTTATTTATTGTTTTTTCTTTTTATTTAAACAATTTTTTTTTAATTATCTTAAAAAGTGTCATTTAAGTTCCTTATTTACTCAATAGATGGCACCATCAAAAACAACCTAAAATTTTTAATGTTTTCATTTTTTAATATTTCACATTTATTTTACCAAATTACTAGGATTTATATTTAAAATTAAGACATAATCTATTTATTTTTTATAGTTTGAAGCTGATAGACGTGCAATTATAATTAACATAAATTCGTTTGGTAGCGAATTGACCAAAGATGATCGTGCTAAATTAAATCCCGATACTTTAGCTGCTTTTGTACGAGCGGAAGATTACGATCAACTGTTGTTTCTAAAAAGGAAGTTTGTAATAATATTGCTTTGTGTATAATTAATTTTATCATTATTGTAAAAGTATTAAATGTATATAAAACTAATTCACAATTTTCCTGCGCATTATATTGGTATATCAATTAAATGTAATAAATGTAGTCAAATACAGTTTATTTAATGTTTTTCTTTTTTATTTAAACAATTTTTTTTGAAGTTTCGTTTAAGTTGCTTATTTACTCAATAGATGGCACCACCAAAAACAACCTAAAATTTTTAATGTTTTCAATTTTAATAGTTTCACATTTATTTTACCAAATTACTAGGTGATTTATACTTAAAATTAAGAGATAACTTATTTATTTTTTTTAGTTTGAAGCTGATAGACGTGCAATTATAATTACCATAAATTCGTTTGGTACCGAATTGAGCAAAGATGATCGTGCTAAATTAAATCCCGATAGTTTAGCTACTTTTGTACGAGTGGAAGATTACGATCAATTGTTGTTTCTAAAAAGAAAGTTTGTAATAGTATTGTTTTGTGTATAATTAATTTGATCATTATTGTAAAAGTATTAAATGTATATAAAACTAATTCACAATTTATCCTGCGCATTGTATTGGTATATCAATTAAATGTAATAAATGTAGTCAAATACAGTTTATTTATTGTTTTTCCTTTTTATTTAAACAATTTTTATTTGAATCACTTTAGAAAGTGTCATTTAAGTTCCTTATTTACTCAATAGATGGTACCATCAAAATCAACCTAAAATTTTTAATTTTTTGATATTTCACGTTTATTTTATCAAATTACTAGGTGATTTATAATTAAAATTAAGACATAACTTATTTATTTTTTTCAGTTTGAAGCTGATAGACGTGCAATTATAATTACCATAAATTCGTATAATTAATTTTTTCATTATTGTAAAATTATTAAATGTATATAAAACTAATTCACAATTTTCCTGCGCTTTATATTGGTATATCAATTAAATGTAATAAATGTAGTCAAATACAGTTTATTTATTGTTTTTTCTTTTTATTTAAACAATTTTTTTTTAATTATCTTAAAAAGTGTCATTTAAGTTCCTTATTTACTCAATAGATGGCACCATCAAAAACAACCTAAAATTTTTAATGTTTTCATTTTTTAATATTTCACATTTATTTTACCAAATTACTAGGATTTATATTTAAAATTAAGACATAATCTATTTATTTTTTATAGTTTGAAGCTGATAGACGTGCAATTATAATTAACATAAATTCGTTTGGTAGCGAATTGACCAAAGATGATCGTGCTAAATTAAATCCCGATACTTTAGCTGCTTTTGTACGAGCGGAAGATTACGATCAACTGTTGTTTCTAAAAAGGAAGTTTGTAATAATATTGCTTTGTGTATAATTAATTTTATCATTATTGTAAAAGTATTAAATGTATATAAAACTAATTCACAATTTTCCTGCGCATTATATTGGTATATCAATTAAATGTAATAAATGTAGTCAAATACAGTTTATTTAATGTTTTTCTTTTTTATTTAAACAATTTTTTTTGAAGTTTCGTTTAAGTTGCTTATTTACTCAATAGATGGCACCACCAAAAACAACCTAAAATTTTTAATGTTTTCAATTTTAATAGTTTCACATTTATTTTACCAAATTACTAGGTGATTTATACTTAAAATTAAGAGATAACTTATTTATTTTTTTTAGTTTGAAGCTGATAGACGTGCAATTATAATTACCATAAATTCGTTTGGTACCGAATTGAGCAAAGATGATCGTGCTAAATTAAATCCCGATAGTTTAGCTACTTTTGTACGAGTGGAAGATTACGATCAATTGTTGTTTCTAAAAAGAAAGTTTGTAATAGTATTGTTTTGTGTATAATTAATTTGATCATTATTGTAAAAGTATTAAATGTATATAAAACTAATTCACAATTTTCATGCGCATTATATTGGTATATAAATTAAATGTAATAAATGTAGTCAAATACAGTTTATTTAATGTTTTTATTTTTTATTTAAACAATTTTTTTGAAGTTTAGTTTAAGTTGCTTATTTACCCAATAGATGGCACCATCAAAAACTTAACCTAAAATTTTTAATGTTTTCATTTTTTAAGATTTCACGTTTATTTTACAATAATATCTCTCATAAAGCATTACATACTACGAAAATGGCAAAAAGTAAATTTGAATATGTACGAAATTTTGAAACGGAAGATAGATTATTACCGAATTGTTGGATTGTAATAAGAATAGACGGAAGAGATTTCCACAAATTTTCGAAAAAACATAAGTTTAAAAAACCCAACGATAATAGAGCGATTGATTTAATGAATCACGCCGCTATGAAGGTGATGGATGACTTTAAAGATATATCTATAGCTTACGGTCAAAGTGATGAGTACTCCTTTGTATTAAGAAAAAATACAGAAATTTATAATCGGAGAGGTACCAAATTGATGACTTATATCAATAGTTTGTTTTCATCATCATATGTTTTTTATTGGGGTGAATATTTCAAGGAGGAGAAATTGAGGTATCCACCGGCTTTCGATTCTAGGGCTGTTTTGTATCCTACCGATGAAAATTTAAGAGATTATTTAAGTTGGAGGCAAGCTGATTGTCATATTAATAATTTGTATAATACCACTTTTTGGACATTAATAAATAAAGGTGGTTTAACGAATCGAGAAGTGAGATTTTATTAATTGTTTAAATCCAGATTAAAAAAAATGTTTTTTAGGCTGAACAAAAATTGTGTGGGACTTTCTCATCAGACAAAAACGAGCTTTTATTTAGCGAATTTGGTATAAATTATAATAACGAACCGGAGATTTTTAAGAAAGGAACTATATTGTTAAGAAAAAAAGTTTTAAACCCGAAAAGTCAGAAAAATAAAACTACAATTATCCCATTACACGAAGACCTTATTGGAGATAAATTTTGGGAGAAACATTCAGAAATACTTAATATAGGTGCAACAACTTTTTATGAATATCCTGAAGATTTTGATTTACCTTATTTAGTTTTGCGACAATTAAATATTTAAAATACTTTAATTTTATTTATTTATATTCCTAAAATTAATTTTTTGTAACTAACTTCACTAAGTTGCCAACTGTCAATCTTAAAACACGACGTAACCTAACCTCAAATATAAATTTTTCATTTTCAGATCTAAATAATACAAAATATGTCGAAAAATATAATTGAAAAAGCATTAACAATGCTTCGTGCACTCCCTAGAGTGTCGTTAGCGAATATTAGAGATAATCCAGGGGCGCGAATGGTTAATTAATTTACTTAACTATAACTCTATTTATTTTTAATTTTAATGTTAATTTCAGTGCAAAAAAAGAGGTAGAGGACAACACGGTGGTGATAAACATGGTGCTGGCAATAAAGGATCCCTTCAAAGACAAAACTATACCAGATTAGGTTATGAAACAGGCAATAATCCCTTTTATTTAAGATTTCCAATGGAACCTTACTACAAAGGTCATCAGTACGTAATTAAAACAATAATGCAACAAAATTTTAAATAAAACGTTTTAGTTTGAGGCGCCAATATCCACCAATTACACTTTTAAGGCTCCAAACGATGATTGATACTAATCGTATTGATACTTCAAAACCAATTGATTTAACTGCTATTTTAAATACTGGTTTATACACATTGCATCCAGATCAAAGGCAATTTGGGGTTAATTTAACTGATGAAGGTGCAGATATCTTCAAAGCAAAAATTAATATTGAAGTACAATGGGCTAGCGAATTGGTTATTGCTGCTATTGAAAGAAACGGTGGTGTTATAACAACCGCTTATTATGACATGCATAGCATACAGGCGATGATGAATACTAAAAAGTTTTTTGAAAGAGGTGTCCCAATCCCAAGGAGGATGGTACCGCCACAAGATGCTATTGAGTATTACTCAGATCCTGTTAATAGGGGATATTTAGCTGACCCTGAGAAAATTTCGCAAGAACGATTGGTTTTAGCACAAAAATATGGGTATACGCTACCGAAAATTGAGGAAGATAACGATTATGCAATGTTGAGTGAGAGGAAGGACCCTAGACAGATATTTTATGGGTTACACCCAGGATGGATGATTAATTTAAAGGATAAAGTTATTTTGAAACCGCAAGAAGAAGAATTGTTGCAACATTATTGTTCGTAATGATGTATTTTTAGAGTAGTAAAATAAATGAGTACAGTTTCAATTTTATTTTATTAAAAAAAGTCACAAAATTAATATGAGTAAATTACAATATTCAATGAATTTATTGGGTTATTTATTATTTAATTCTAACATTAATTTATTACTAATATTTTAGATTAAATATGAAAATTATAATTAAATAATTAATTAAATAAAATTGAATGAGTTTCCTTGTACATTACATAATTATGGGTTATTTTATTTAAATGATTCTGGCATAGACAGGATTAAGAAGGCACTATTTTGATTTTATGCTATTTGTATAAAGCAGGTTAGCTTTTTTACAGTCTTTATAACTTAAAAGATTTAAATAGAAATCTTTTTAATTGATTTATGGTTAATATTAAGATATAAAAACATGCTAAATTTAACGTGGGAAACAAAAAAAGAATTTATTTATAATTACAGGGAAGAAAAATTTAAGAATAACAAGATTAAAAATTGAACAGAAGTTTTTGGTTAACATCAACAATTGCAGTAAGAAATGGTTTTAAATTGACTAATAATAATATTGGGAAGCGTTTATTTATTAAAATTAAATTAACTTTTTTTAAACAACAATAATCAAGAGGAATTCTTTTAGCAAAATTCTAATTTTTGATCATACATTATTTTTCAATCAGTTTCTATTATTATTATTATACACTAATTTTTATGAACTATATCTTTATGATTAAAAGCTGATTCTTATTCTAACTAAAATCCCCCTTAGTAATAACATAAGAATAATAATTCTAATATAACAAAATGCGCTTTTCTACCGCTTTTCTACATATAGGACACTCCGTCATTTGATCTCCACACATTTGGCACAATCCATGTCCACATAAAAAGATCATATTCTTCAAACGATCCAAACATACTGGACACATAGTCTAAAAAAAAAATTAAAATTATTGTTTTATCTTAAATCATTAAGACAGAAATAGACTAAATTCTTTGACATATGTATGACAGCTAATCCAATTACCAAAAAAAAATTTTATTGAACCCTATTTCAAGTATTTACGAAATTATAATACTTTAAAGATTTAATTTTTATATCATAATTGCAAAATTTTTTTTAAAACACATAAATATTACAAATATTGTTCAACATAGCCTCCTTCTGCTAGAATACATGCTTCACAACGACGAATTAAAGAGTTCTTTAGCCGAATTAAAATGTCTGGTTGATTTTTTATTTCAGTAGTAGCCATTTGTATTCTGTTTAATAACTGTTCTCGTGTGTTAATTTTCACTTAATACACAATTTGTTTCATTTGACCCCATAAGTAGAAATCCAATGGATTAAGGTCGGGGGATCTGGGTGCCCAAGCAAATGGACCATTATTACCAGTCCACTTGTTAGGAAAATATTGGTTTAATCACTCAACAACTACTTTTGCGCAATGAGGTGGGGAACCATCACGATGGATACCTGTGGCTATGAGGTATTAGCCAACATAATAATACAATAATTATAAAATTAACTTTTTGGCAGACTTTTTATTTTGTGTCTGTTATGTTTTGCATCAAAAACAATTGTGTGCAAATATAAAAATAATAACAAATGAAATACAATTTTATGTTTTTAAATGGAGCTGCTGCCACAGCACGCTACATTCACTTCCCCTCCTATAAAGAAAGAACAGAAAGAGGGAAAACATTTAGTCAAAAATTTGAATTAAAATTTAAAATGTACTTTTTTAGTTTTATTAATTATTAAATTGTTGTATTCAGGAGAAACGTTTTCGTTCAGAAAGAAAGCCGGTTTCAGCAAATCGAGGCTTACATTTATTTCTTTACTGTCTTTCAATACAACGAAAAATTTTGAAAATCTCTTCAACACTCTGAAGGGACCTTCGTACCTAGGAGACAACGTAGGTTTAATTCCAGTAATTTTAACAAATACAAAGTTTGACCTGAATAATTCTTTGTGAACAAAAGGTTTTTGGCTGGAATGTATGGTTGACTGAACTGGTTTAATGTCAGCAAAAGATGATTTTAAACGTGATAATAATGGTTCAGTTTCAATTGATGGTTCGGTAGGTAAGAAAAATTCTCCTGGTAATCTGAGTTGCTGACCATAAACCAATTCAGCGGATGAGCAACCTAAATCCTCCTTTAGGGATGACCTGAGACCTAGGAGAATCAAAGGCAAGTCATTGTTCCATCTAGTAGAATTACCTCGAGCAATAATCGCTGATTTCAAAGTACGGTGAAATCGTTCAATCATACCGTTACTTTGTGGGTGATAAGCAGATGTGTGTATTTGATGAGTACCTAAAAATAATTGGAATTTTGAAAATAATAGTGATTCGAATTGTCGTCCTTNAATTCTCTGTAAAAAAGTGTCCATATAATGTCTTAGTTATAATACTCCACCTATAATAATAACGAAGATAATTGCACTTGCTGGTTTTACGATATTTCCAATTTTGGCCTCTAGGGGAAAAACAAAAGACGATAGCGCTATGAGGTTTTCGGCATTAGCAGTTTCTCGAAAAACGAGATCATGACACGTAAGCTACTTTTTGTCTAACTCTTATAGTTTCCGAGTTAGCCTATTCGGACATCGAATTTGAACCACCCTGTACATGCAAACCTAGTAAATTGTTGTAAAATATTCCACCCCAAACGTTGATGCTGAAACGTTGTTGAAATTTCCTTGGTCTAATCGCATGCGTATTTTGTAATGCCCAAATATGTTCATTATGGTAATTATTTATACCACGAAGTCATTATTTTGGGCATGTTTCTGCAATAACCATTCACAAAATGCTAACCGTTCCTGATTATCTCCTGGTTGTAGAGCTTGAATTGAGCAAAATTTTGACTTACATGTATGTTGTGTGCTATTCTTCGAGTGCTGATGAAAGAATTATCAATGACAGCATTAATTACAGCTTCTTCGTCCTCTACATTAACTACATGCGGTCGAATAGCTTTTACTGAAGCAGAATTACCTGTTTCTCGAAGTCTTCTGAAAGAATCGCCAAAAACTGAATAATATGGCAAATGACACTGTGGAAATCTTTCTTGATATTCTGATTGTCGAGCATTTCCATTGGTAATAATTAAACCTTACAGCAAACTGACATATTACAATGACAACTTAGTTTTAGTTGAATGTTCGATTTTACTGACTATTAATAAATTCGCTGCGGAAAACTTTAAAGTGTTATAATTTCGTAAATAATTTAATTGGATTAGCTATTATATATCAAAGTTTGATGGTGAGCTAATAAATCACCCTGTATAATTGTAATTTTTATTGTCGAAAATTATTACCTGATCTTTAATATCCTGTAATTGTTGTTGAAGTTTCTGAATATCATTACTTGTATCTCTCCCACCATTATTCATAAACGGTCCTTGTGGAATAACAGGCTCGCTAGTTGATGGTTTAACAATTTCTTCTTCGGGTTCTTGTTTAACTTCACAAATATTACCCAATCCTCCAGCACAAACGGTCATAGGAACCATCAATTCGATTTGTGACCGACACAAAACGCATTTTTTCATTATTTGCGAACAACTATCGCATGCGCACATATGACCGCATGGTTTAAAAAGAACAGCGGACTTTTTATCGGAACAAACCATGCATTCCTCAATTTTAATTCGATTAGCCACCGATTCTCTACATAATAAACATTTTTTTACGCGTGGGGCACAAGCGGAACAACACGTAACGTGTCCGCACGGTTGGAAAAGTGTGTCTCTTTTCGCATCGGAGCACACCAAACATTCATCCATAGCGGAAGAAACGTTGCTGTTTGGATTGGTGTGGGTGCTCATTTCCATTTCGCCACTTTGTTTCTCTTTGTGGCATTTGGTTAATGTTTTACAAAGGTTAGGATCCGGGCATAAATCTAAAGGAGTTTGCCCCTTTTTATTTTTAATACCAAGATCAGCTCCGTTTCCAGCTAAGAAACAAGCGATACTTGCGGAAGACTTTTTATCGGAACCTTGAGTACCAAGACCCATGAGTAATTTGCCAACGTCTTGGACGTCTTGAAGTTGACGTAATTGGGATAAAGTGTGATGGCGAAGAGCTTCGTGAAGCGGTGTATCACCATCTTTATCTGGAATGTTTAAATTAGCCCCTTCTCGTACTAATAACTGCAAAAAAAAATTAAGATTTAAAATGAGTACCTAAAAATTTTAATTAAACTCACTCTAACGATTTGAGTATGTTGTCGTTCAACAGCTAAATGTAACGCAGTTTGCAAGTTAACATTTTGCAAGTCCATGTTTGCTTTTCCGCTTAAAACTAGTTGTTCGGCTACTTCTACGTGATTATTCAAAGCTGCTAAGTGTAAAGCTGTGTAACCATCGTCTTTTTTCTCATCAACGATCCACGGTCTTGGTAATTTTGCTAATAAGATTTTCATAGCACTAAAAACAATAAAATAAACATTATAAATTATTTTCTATAATGATTTAATTGAAACATTATTTTAGTATTCAAAAAACAAAAATTTTGAAACCTCAAAATTTATGTTTAACGCGAGAAGAGGGCAACTGCCGCTTCCATATCGTGTTACGTCGAATGCCGCTTCCCTTTTGCGTTACTGAAATAACAAATTATATATAAGCGGGCACAAATAGCCCGTAGGAGTTCTCGTACAAGTTCAATGATCTCAGATAGTTCTACCACAGTTCCCCCCTGGCAGAATATAGCACAGCGCGTGCAACAAACTCTTGATGTCGAGATCTAAAAGAGATTTTTGATTCAACAGGAATACGTTTATGTGAAAGAGTTATGTTTGGAATAGATCTTAAAGGCTTGAAATTATTTATAGTTTAAGCAATTGAATTGGTTTATGCTACAATTATACTTAAAACACTTTTATATTAGAAAGATATTAATGGTTAAGATGTAAAGGTTATAAATTTTTATAACCTCTCTATGAGCTTTTGATGTGAGTGTCAAGTATTTTAGTTCTTATTGATTATTTTACAAGTTATAAACGTTAAAATTAATGATAAACTTGCAATATGGGCAAGTGTGTAAGATTTAAGACACAAGGTCTTGTTATGCTGAGTAAAACGTGGACCATACTGACATGGAAATATATATGGCTTATCTCATTTACCAATTTCCCATAAATAGAGAGATAGATAAGATTAATTTTAATAAATTAATTTCCCATATTTAATGTTATTATTATTTTATTGTCTCTGGAAATAAGATGAAATTGTTTCCACTAGATTAGTGCCATTTTGACACACACCAACAGGTTTTTGGATTTCCTGGTATCTTTGAGACATTTTCAAAGTACAGCTCTGTTCAGATTTAATGCGAATCGTCCGCTGTTAGCTCCGACATGACGCTGGTACTGGACGAAGACGGAACATCTTTTGTTTCTATTCAATTCGATTTCAGAGACTAAAGGAAGTTACCCTCTTTTCCTTAACCCAGGTAAAACCATCCCAGTTTGAAGTGGGCCGAAAAATGGATCACACTTTTTTTAAATGTGTTAATTTTATTTTATTTTAAATCTTTTTTGATATTTTTAAGAACAACAAATACACGACTTTTTATATGTTCCTCTAATAAATGATTTTAGAGTATTTCTATAAATAAAACGTCAGATAAAAATCTCAGTAATATAATTAATATAATATAAAGCTTTATGAAACTTACCATATTTCCATCTTTAAAATACACATAGTTTTCTTTTAATACTAATTTATGAAACTTTCCTTCAAATTTTAAATAGAATTATCAACATCAAAATTACGTGCCCGTTCAAATTTGTTCGTTTTCTTAAATACAACATGTCTCGTGTTCCTGGTCAACGAGAGTCAGGTTTGACTACGAGGCGAGCAATTATTGCACTTCATCAAGAAGGAATAGATAAACTGGAAATTGCCGAACGTGTAGGATTATTAGTAAGATTTGAAGAAAACGGGAAAGTTGGCCTTACAACATCTAGATCAGGCCGAAGACTTATTCTTAATAATGCTCAACGAAGGGGAATTGCTGAATACGTCACCGCCAATCCATTTACAACGTCCACAATTATCAAGGATTTAATACGATTGAATATATTTGAGTGCTGGAGGATGTTTTCATACCATCACGATTGTCCAAGACCCAAGATTCACCCATTCTTCAAGAATTGTTCATGGTTGGTTTGAGGATCATAATGAGGTTAGGCGAATACCCTGGCCAGCGCGGTCACCTCATCTTAACCCAATCGAAAATCTATGGGCTTTGGTGGCAAAACAGTTCAATAAAAATGCCAACTTTCCGATTCGCAACGTGGATAATGTGCGCCGCAATATTACAGTTGTGTGGGAATTGTTTCACGACAATGTATGCGAAAAAGTAGTAAATTCGATGTCCACCAAATTGCAATGTTGCATAGAGAATAATAGGTATTATACAAAATACTGATAATATTTGATGGTATAATGGACCTTATAAAATTCTCCCCAATTAGATTATTATAATATTTATATTATATTTTTTGTTATATAGGAGTACTATATTATACTATATTGATTTTTGATTTTATTATATTAAAATGGTTATCGATATATTTCAATATATAGTTTATACAGGGTGATTTATAACATACGGAGGAGACTAAATGGGTAGATACTTGAGGTCAAACTGAAGAGATTGTCTTAATAATGTTTTGTTAAAATCTTAATAGTTACATAGATATCGCATGTTAATTTTTTAAATAAGTTAGCGTCAACTTTTGAGAACCGCTGATATTCACTAAAGAACAATTAAAATACTTGTCAATGCCATCCTCATTTTTGAAGGAGCTGTCAAAGTAGACAATTTAATTGTGTAATTTTAATACGTAATTTATGAAAAGAAATAATAGATGTTAATTTATGAAACGGATAATAATAATGTTTTAAATGCAAAATTACAAAATCTCTAAAACAAGAAAATAACATAATAATAATAATAATCATTTTATAACATATGTTCAAAGTGCTGTCCTTGCATTTCGACGCACAACTGCGCACGACGAATCCAATTTAACGATAATCGTGGAAATCGTGGACGTATGTCCTCTGTAGCGGCAGTGATGCGATGTCGTAGTTCGTCGATTGTATTAACCTCGGTGGCATATACTCTATCCTTCATGAATCCCCATAAAAAAAAGTCCAATGGGTTAAGATCGGGACTACGTGGTGGCCATGGAATAGGTCCACCTCGACCAATCCATTTTTGCCGAAAAGCATTATCGAGGAAATCTCGTACATTACGACTAAAATGTGCAGGACAACCGTCGTGCATAAACCACATCTCACGTCGCATAAGTAGCGGAATATCTTCCAGGAGTACTGGCAGATTTTCTTGTAAAAACTGTAAATAAGAAGTTCCATTAAGAGTTCCTGGTAATTCGAAAGGTCCTATTAACGTATTGTTCACAATTCCCGCCCATAGATTCACTCTGAATCGTTGTTGAAAAGAGCCTTGACGAATAACGTGTGGATTTTCGTCCGACCACACATGGGAATTGTGAACATTTAGAACACCATTTCTGGTAAAACAGCATTCATCCGTTACCAGTATACTGTCCGCAAAATCTGCTTCTCTGTTGGTACGATTTAGTAGCCACTCGCAAAATTGCAACCGCAAAGGATAGTCAGCGGGAGTCAGTCCTTGCACTTTTTGAAAATGATAGGGGTGTAAACCGTTACTTTTCAACGTACGCCAAACAAAATTCTGGGATACCTCGAGTTGGTGAGAAATTTGACGAGTACTCGTGCTTCGATCCGCTTCCACAATTTCTAGAATTTCTTCTTCCACATTCACTCCATGTCTGTTTAGTCTACCGCCACCAAGACCTTTCTTAGGTTGCAAATTTCCTGTCTCTCTTCCCCGCTGGATTAACCGAAGAAAAGTGTTTTCAGAAGGGATCTGTCGATTTGGATATCGTTCTAAATACAGACGTCTTGCGTGTGCAGCGTTTTCTCCAGCAGCTCCATAAATAATAAGCATATCTACGTATTCTTCGTTACTGTACATTACCATTGTATTTTTTGATTAGTAAAAATTCTAATTTTGACGTTAAATGACATTGATTATTAAAATTAAATGACATGTCCGTTGCTAGGTAACCAAGTCAACTGGATTGACAGCAATAAAAACATGGTATCAGCGGTTCTCAAAAAACAAACACCAGTTTTTGAGTGATTTAACAAATTTTTAAATAGCCGTAACTGCCATATTACAAAGATTTTATTATTGGTGCTAATCAGGCATTGCTTAAGTAACCCCGAAATATTCGCAGTTTGAATTTAAACGTAGTGTAATACCGTATATCGTAAGAAATGCTGGGCAATTAATTCAACTTTAATGCTCTATATCTTTGTGATTATTACGTTGTAGTCAAAACATTATTAAGAAAATATCTTCAGTTTGGCCCCTAGTACTTGCTCTTTTAATCTGCTCCGTATGTTATAAATCACCCTGTATATAACTTACTATCAATATATAATTTTCATTTCAGATGAGGTTCGACTTATCATTCCACTGTATTACCAAAATAATACAGTAATTATTAGTAATTATTTTCATTTACTACAGGAATTGTGTAAAGTAAATGGATTGCTTATACTTATTTATTTTCTTAATTTTTTTTGGTGATTCAGTCATTTTGGCCATAAATCACATCACCCCGCTTGCCTGTTCGGAACTTTTACACCACTACAGAGCAGCTATAACCTGGATTGAATGCCTCGTGAACGTATGTCGTTTCTAGTACAATTTTATGCCTCTACGAGCGGCTCTTTTCGCATTATATCTGAACAGAACTGTACATCAAAATAATTTCAACTTGTTGAAAATTTAATGCTTTATTTTTAAACTATTATTACTAAAGTTTCTCATTTAATTTTTTTGATAAAAATAAAAGTTTCTGTTTCATTGTGGAATTTAACTGAGAAAGTAACAAAACTCGAGTGAACATGCAATTTTACGATTTCGTTATCATCCTGACAGATCGCCCTGCTCCTCTGACTCCTTTAATCCTTATGACGTGCCGACGCCTTTTCAAGATTCGCCTTAACTTTAATAGAAAAAGTTGCTTCCGAGTTTTGCCTCCAAAGACTTAACCGAACGGAAGGATGTAAGAGTATCCAGTTACCAAGTTTATCTCTTCCAAGCAGTTTTTCGGTTAATAGGTATATTTGTTAATCGTTCTAATTATATTTTATATAGTACATAGTTTAAATATGTTTTAGTTATATAAAAAAATGTTGGCTATTTGTATGCGTCTAGATAAAGAAAGGGTAAAGTCGCTGGAAACGAGTAGCATCACGCACGTCGATTTTTATTCAACCGACAAGATGATACAGCAAAGAGATATACGACAAGACGAAAAAGAAGGGTCTCGGGCATTTATCGTTTCAGACAGAGCGAGACGTCAACATATGCAAGGCATAAGTAGGGAGGCCGATGCCACCGATATATCACGTCCACCACCCCCCGACTCTTCCAACCTCCTCCCCCAACTCAACCCAACCAAAGAAAACCA